TTGCGCAATCTTTTCTAAACTTGTTGGATCAGCCAAACCAAATTTAAAATAGGCAATTTAAAGGAAATATTGGATTTATCCTCCACAGTGGATTGAAACAAGACAATCTGAAAAACAGCAAAGATCTTTCACTTTGGCGAGTGGTGTCCCAATGGCGCAAAATGAGGAATTTTCGCGGGAAGCACGTCAAACAAGCTTCGTTAGCTTCCTTTTAACCTAATGCGCTCTGTTACTCAAAATATACTTGTGTAAAATTGATCCAGACGATTCTCATCAAAATTGAGCACTCTGTACACACTAAAAATTTCTAGTCACGTTCTCAACGTCAGTTCAGATAATGCGTTCGAAAACGTGGTGTGCTTCGAATTAAGAACGTCGATCGGTGAAATCTACAGATAAGATTGAGCCTAGATTTTAGACATTTGGATTGTTCCGTGACCCACCACGTTTATTAGTTTTTATGTAAAAATCTCTATAAGAATTAAAACAAGCTGTATAATTTTTGATGGTTGATACAGAAATGTGAGAAGTATATATTTATTTTTAAAAAATTATCACGTTTTAATTAGTGCCACAGGCATACCAGACTAACTGATTCTTGCTCATTGCTAAACAAAAGGGCGGTTTCTCTGCTTTACTAATCGAAATTAATTATTCATTTTGTTAAAAAGCTCCGGAAGCGCAGCTGTCTGATGTTTAGTAATGAGATTAATATTCCAGCTTGTCGACACTTTTACTAATATGCAAGAACTTACAAAAGAACGTTATCTGTTACAGTTAAAAGCAGGACAATGACCTCCTGTCATGATCATTTTCGCATGGGAAGAGAATTAACATAGGATGTTGATAAATATACAGAAAAAAAAGTGTGAAAAAGTACTTGTAAATTACATTAAAACGTGAAAATGAAGGAAGTTGTCAGGTGAATGTTTGCATGGACAGACCAAAAAAACAAATAAAGCAAAAAGTCTATCTCCATTAGAAAACAATATATTGCAAAATAAACCACAACATTTAACAAAAAAAGAGAAATGGTAGAGATTGTCTAATTAGCATGGGTGGGTGGGTTGTGCATCGTGGGTAGAGAGTCGTGCATTGTGGTTCATCGGGTTGTGTGTCCTGTCATGTAGGTCAACATGAATTACGTTGGTTGTGGGTAATGGCCTAGCTGTCCGTGAAAAAGAGCGAGAGTTAAGTTGGATAAGAACAAAAGTTATGGAGAGAAGGGTTAAGGCCTTAAACCATTATTTGCCAAGGGAGTGGGTGGCGGGGGGGGGGGGTTGGGTTAAAAAAGTGTGGTGTATTTTTTTGTATAAAAACTTTGGTCTCCCCCACATTCGCCCAAATAATTTATTACAAAAAGCATATCACCTTTGCGTTAATAAACTCTCCTTGATATTACCCTGTTTGCATCGCTTGTTAGTCGTGTTGGTTGGTTGTTTTATAGGCCCCGGAGCATATAAAGTAAACCAACAACGTGACTAACAACTGAGCAAAGCAAACGACTTCATAAATGGTAAAAGCCATGTGAGAGAGAAAGCAGTGCTCTCAGGGTACCTGTGCCAAAAATTACTGTCATCCCTAGAGAAATCAAAGAGAATGGTTATGAACAGGAGCCCATGGGCTCAGTGCTATGCAAAATTTTGGGGGTTGCGGGGGGGGGG